TACAGCGAATGAACCCCCATGTCAGGGTGACAGCCCAGCAGAACCAGGTGGGACCTGCCACTGAGCCACTCTATGGGGACAACTTCTTCCGGCGCCTGGACGGTGTCACCAGCGCCCTGGACACAATGGAGGCCCGTGAGTGCTGGGAAGGGGAAAGGGGCTGAGCCCCTGGATGTGCCCCCTGGCTCCCCAGCATTCCTGGCTCCCTGCAGGTACCTACTTGGAGAGCTGCTGCCTCCGATGCCGCACACCACTGGTGGACTCGGGCACGGAGGGGCCTCGGGGAAACGTGCTGCCCATGGTCCCACACCTGACCAAGCCTCTGGTGCCAGGTGGGACCCCCAGGGATGGCACCTTCGCCTCCTGCACCTTGCGGTACTTCCCCCGCGCCATCCAGCACACACTGCAGGTAGGCTGAGCCGCCCTGGCCACAGCACCCAGCAAGGAGGCACCATGACCTTTGTCTTCCTTCCCTGTTTCCCCTCTAGCAGTGAGCCACGGGCAGGATACAGCCCCAGCTGCTTCCTGGTGGTAGCCTGAGTGCTGCTGCTGGCCCTGCCATAGTCTCTTCCTCCTACTGGGTTTGGGTTGGCCATGAGGGGAGGCCCCCGTGCTCAACACCCACTCTCCCTCCACAGTGGGCCCGTGATGAGTTTGAGGGGCTTTTCCAGCTGCCTGCAGAGCACATCAACCGGTTCATGGAGTGAGTGGGCTTGGGGGCAGTGACACTGGGAGAGGAGCTGCCAGCTCTGCCACGGCACTGCTGGGGCTGGGGAGAGGATGCCAGACTGCTGCATCCCACCCAGGTGTCCCACGGGATTGCTCTCAGGCCAGCATCAGCAGTGCCTGGTTTTACAGAGACCCAGCTTTCCTGGAGCAGCTGCCAGCAGGGAAGGCCCCGAAGGTCCTGGAGCAGGTGCGGGACAGGCTGCGGGAGCGGCCGCGGGACTGGCGGGACTGCGTGCTCTGGGCGCGCCGGCACTGGCAGAGCCGCTACCACGACGCCATCGCCCAGCTGCTGCACATCTACCCCCCAGAGCATGTGAGCCCAGTGCCCATGGGGCTGGCACCCCTGCACCCCTTCCAGCCACCTCGCTGCAGCCAGGGACACACATCCCTGGGCCTGACTCTTCTCTCCCTGTTCCAGGAAACCAGCCCAGGTGTTCCCTTCTGGGCAGGGGACAAGAGCTGTCCCCATCCACTGACATTCAACCCCGAGAATGTGAGTGCAGGGAGAGCTGTGGGGTCCCTCACGGGGACAGTGTGGGCTGAGGGAGAGCCGAGCCTGTGCCAGGGGTACAGGGATGCTGGACTGTGGTTGTGCTCCATCTGCCACAGTCTGTCCAGGGCTGACAGGTCCTGGGCTGGGTCTGTCCTTGTCCCATGGTCAGCAAGGGCACTGCTGGGTACAGTCTGCATGTGCTCTCTGGCCGGAGGAGGAGAGGCTCCTCCATCTCCTCCTTGGGACAAAGCCAGACTGTTCTACCAGTTCAGGGCAGTGCAGGCAGCCTTTGGCCGTGTGGGACCACCCCAGCAAGGCGTCCCATGGCCCCATTCTGCCCTGCAGGACACCCACCTGGACTATATCCTGGCTGCTGCCCACCTCTTTGCCCAAGTACACAGGGTGCCACCATGCAGGGACCGGAGAGCCGCTCAGGACATTCTCCGCAGTGTGGTCCTGCCACCCTCTGCACTCCAGGAAGGGCTTCAGATCCCCCTCACAGAGGAGCAGGAGGAGGCACAGAAGTCCACGGGTGAGGCTCCTCACGCTCCTTGGTCCCCTCAGGCATGTCCCCAGGTCCCTCAGTCCAACCTGGTGGTGGTGGGGCTGCAACCGCTCCTCCCTGCTCCAGCACCCAGCTGGACCTGGACTGAGGTGGGGGCACCGTGCCATGCCCCTTGTAGTGCCGCAGTGCAGGGGTACCACACCAAGGGTCTGTGTGCCCCCAGACTGCAGGCAGCTGACAGAGCTTATCCAGGACCTGGCGCAGCAGAGACAGGAGCTGGTGGGGCATGAGGAGGTGCAAGTGCCCCTGATGGAACCCATCCACTTTGAGAAGGTACCAGAGCTGGGCAGGTGGCTCTGCTCAGCTTGAGGGGTTGATGTCCCCATAGGATGCTCACGTCCCCACACTCTTCCCCACAGGACAATGATATCCACGTGGACTTTATCACTGCAGCATCCAACCTGCGCGCGGAGAACTATGGCATCCCCCCCACCGACTGGCTGACGGTGAGAGGGGTGGCTCATGGGGTCCCTGTCCTGGGCGGGGCAGCTGGTGACACCTCTCCTCTCCTCAGAGCAAGCGGATCGCCGGGCGCATCTTGCCTGCCATCATCACCACCACGGCAGCCGTGGCTGGGCTGGCATGCCTGGAGGTCTACAAGCTGGTGTGGGGGTGCCAGGACCTCAGCTGCTACCGCAACAGCAACATCTCCCTGTCCAACTGCCTGCTGCTCTGCCGCGTCCCGCTCCCACCGCCCACCTACTGGGTAGGGCCCTCTCCCTGGGGGCAGCACAGGTGGGGGACACCTAGGGGTTGGTGGCATCTGCAGTGGGACAATGTCAGGGAGAGCCAGGAGCAAGGGGCAGCCCTGGTTGTAGCACTACAGCAATGGTTCCGGGTGTCACAGTGGGTCGGGAATGCTGCAAGGCAGCGGGGAAACAGCTCCTTCCCGTGGCTGCCCCCCAGCACTGAGCTGCTGCCACTATCCCACCCGCCCCAGCTTAGGGCCCAACCGGGATGCTCTGGGGTGCCCATGGGGTGAGGCAGCCCTGCTGCCCCACAGCGGGCCCCACGGTGAGCCCCACGGCCAGGGGTGGCAGGCCGCTGCAGCCGCACACATCTGGCTTATGGAAACCAGCTGCAGCAGCCAGAAAGCAGCTGGCACCGGGCCGGGAAGGGCCGCCCGGGGGGAGCGGGGCCGGGGGTCCCAGCGGTGGGGGGCCAGGGAGGGAGAGCGGAGGCGGGGGCAGGCCCAGATTGGGACTGTCTGGGCTATAGAGGCCCCTTTGTCTGGGGGTTTATGGCGTGCAAGGCAGCCCTTCCGGCACGGCAGGAAGCGCCGATTGGAACCAGATTGGCCCGGGGGGCCCAGGGCCGGGGGCAGGAAGAGGGGGAGGGAGGCGCACCACTGCCTTGCCGACTCCAGCACCACTTTGGACTGACGGCTGCCCCACAGCCCTCTTGTGCCCTTTGGGCTGCCCAGCCCTGTGCCATCCTGGCCACGGTGCCCGTGGGTTGGCACTGTCTCTAGATGGAGGATGTTGCTGGGACTGGCCATGCCCTTAGGTCCCTGCAGCAGCGCCTGGCACCTTTATGTCCCGTAGTGAGGACACCCGGCATGACATTTCACACCCAGCTGCTTGGCAGTAGTGGGAGCACATGTCCCCCAGGCTCACTTGGTGTGACCTGTGTCCCCAAAGGGGCCTGGGGAGCCCACCTTGGGGGCAGTTCAGAGGCATGTGCTTCTCAGGGCATTTTCAGGGTGCTGGGATGGGCAATGGCATTCCCTCTGCACTGGGCAGTCACTGCCCCGGAGAGGATGGGGTTAAGCCCTTCCCACCCCAGTGGGATAAGTGCAGGCAGCAGAAGGCGGAGGTGAGAAGGCAGCAGAAGGCAGGAGGGAGAGTGACCAGGTGTGAACACCCCTCCCGAGCAGGGCCAGGGCCAGGCAGGCAGGGCTGGTGGTGCCTGTGGCGAGGGCAGATGGCCGGGCAGCCCTGCCAGACGGTGCGGGGCCGCATCCGGCACTTGGCCCCAGGCTTGGCGCCACACTGGTCTCCTTGGGCTGGAGCCGGGGTCGGGGGGCCACGGGCTTGAGAAGAAGTGATTGTGTGGGGCTGGGCAGCACTTCAGTGGCCCTTTGTGTGCCCATCCTGGCCTGGGGCTGGGGGCAGTGCTGGCCCTACACCGACCCCGACCCCTGCAGTGGACCCCAGCAGTGCTGGAGGGACAGTTGTGGCCCCAACTGCCCCTGGACCTCAGCAGTGCTGAGGGGACATTTGTGTCCCCAGCTGCCCCTGGACACCAGCAATGCTCGTGGGACAGCTGTGTCTTCATTTCCCACAGGGGACCACCATTCTCCCCCTGTCCCCTGACTGGTCCTTTTGCCTGCCCAGATGTCCCCTAGCCCTCATGCCACACCAGTCTCTGCCCCCATGGGGTTGGGCAGCCAAGATATGGGGTGCCAGTGCTGGCTGCAATCCCTTGTTCCCCCTCGCAGTACGGCGGGTGTGAATGGAGCTGCTGGGACCGGCTGGAGATGAGGGCAGTCAGCGCAGACGGGCAGGCAATGACGGTGCAGGAGGTGCTGGACTGGCTGCAGGTGAGCCCAGTGCCAGCAGCACCCAGTCAGGTCACCCTGGGGGTTACAGGGACAGATCCTGACACCCACCTCTTGCAGAGGACACGTGGCTGGACTGTGACCACACTCCTGCATGGTGACACCATACTCTACAACAAGGGAGACGATGAAGAGACACAGGCCCAGCAACAGGCACAGAGGTAGGTCCCCGGCTCCAGGGCCAATCCTGTCCAGGGCGGGGGCTTTCAGCCCCCTCTCCCTCCATCCTGAGCTGCTCCAGCTGCAGTGCAGCTCCCAGCCAGCTGCTGGATAAACATCCTGCCGGCAGCACTTCCCGTGGTAGGACCCCTGCCCGGCCCCTTTCTGATGGCTCCTGCATCCCACCAGCCTGGCCGGACACCCCTGAGGGGCCCAAGGCACCCCCAGGCGCCCAGCCAGCCTTGAGGGGCAAGCCAGTGTCCCCAAAACCCCCTTTCCCTGCTACAGGTTATCAGAGATCTTGGAGGATGCCGGGATGCCGCAGCAGCAGGCCCTGGAGCTTCATTATGTGTGCGAGGGAGAGGATGCTGAGGATGAAGATAAGCGTCCTCCTCTCCTCTGCTCCCTACCCTGAGCAAGGGGCACTTCCTGCCCCACGCAATAAAAGCTGCAGGAACCACTGTCGCAAAAACTCCCTGCTTGCCCCTGCCCAGAGCGGGGCACAGGCACCCCCCTTGATAAACGCTGCAGTGCCCACACCGTACAAAACCGGGGTTTATTTACAGGGAGGGGGGGCGGGCGGCAGCAGCGGGGCTAAATGTAGCCGATAACGTCGTTGCAGATGATGGGCTGGCGGCTGCGGCTGTTCATCAGGGCGGTGAAGCGGTGGAAGTCCGTGGCCAGCTGGGCGATGTTGCTGTGAGACTGGTGGAAGCAGGCACCCTTGGGCTGCCCCCCCAGCCCCAGCGGGCAGGAGAAACGCTTGGTGGCATCGCGGCCCCCTGGCCGGGCACCCTCGGCCGCCCGGGGCCGGGCCATGTTGGCCAGCTTGCGGCGAACATTGCCCGAGAGGCTGAGCAGGAAGGCGGGGGGCTTGGCCAGCCGGCGGGAGGGCTCGGCGGGGGCTCGGCGCCGCGGCTCGGCGCCCACCTCGGGCAGGTCCATCCAGTTCTCCACCAGGTCAGCAAAGCAGTTGTCGCCCAGCACCAGGGGCTGCCGGTTCCGGCTCTGCGACAGCAGCGCTACGGTCCAGTCCTGTGTGTCGGCGGGCTCCAGCGCCCGCCACTGCTCCAGGCAGGCGTCCGAGGTGGATTTGGGGCGGGCACGGCGGGCGGGGACGGGCGGCGGGGCGGCGGGGCCGGCGGAGAGCCGGTGTGCCCGCTGGCAGGGCAGCAGGTGCCGGCGCCGAACGGGCACCTCCTCCTCCCGCCACGTGCCCCCCGACGCCTCCGAGTACCCCGAGTCGAACTCCAGGCTGCGCTCGCTGGCCGGGGGGGAGCGGGCGGCCGGGCCCCCCCCGTCCTCCTCCTCGCCGCCCGGATCCAGGCTGCAGGCCGAGTCCGCCGCCGAGCCGGGGCGTGGGGCACGGGGGGCTGGCCCCGGCGCCCCTCCGGCGTGGTGCGGGGCCTGCCGCGTGCGGTGCATGTGCGGCCCCGGCGCCGCCCCTGCTTCGCGCCGGCACCACTGCAGGGAAAGGGCACAATCAGCACAGCGGTCCCCACTGTCCCCAGCCAGCACCGCCGCCTCTCATCCCACCCCGCGCCCCCCACCCCGGTTCGGGGGGGCTTTGCTGGCGCAATAGGCGCGCAGCAGGGTGCGGGGAGCGGGTGCAGGTCCCGTCTTGCCCGCAGCCCCGGGCCCCGCTTTCCTGCGGCTCCTGCGCGGAGCCGGCCGGCGTGCAGCGGCATGTTGGGTGAGCAAGCAGGCACCCAGCCCCGGCCGTGCCTGCGGGAAATGACAGAGGGCCACGGCACGTAGGAGCGGGCGCTCCACTACCCCCCCCGCCGGCCCCTGGAGTCCTCCCGGCCTGGTGGGGAGGCAGCCGGGACACCCCTCCGGCAGAACCCCACTCGGTGGCACAGGGCCAGCGGCAGCCCCAGGGCACCCGCGGGTGCCGGGGTGGGGCACTCGCCCCGTGCGTTGGCAGGGCCACCCACCCAAACCCTGCCCTCCCGCTGGGGACACCCCAGGTGACGTCAGGGTGCAGCCAGGCCATTGCCCAGTGCCAGAGACCACCAAACACCGCGGAATACAGGGGGCCGAGGCAGCCAGGGCTGAACGGAGTGTGGCCGGGCGGGCGCTGGAAGGGCCGCCTGGCTCCCGTAGCCGGGCCGCTCCTCATTCTTGAATTCCTATTGTCTGAACCCAAAAGCAGGGTGTTACGTCCGCTTTCCTGTCCGCGCTGGAGTCGCGGGAAGCTGAGTGTGCAGGAGGGATCGCTCCCGTGGACGGATAATCCTGTCCCCTCTGGCTGTCCCTGACAGACCCTCTAGCAGGGCTGTGACAGTCCACGTCCACGTTCCGGTCCCTGTCCCCCTCCTCGCAGGCTGGGACCCTCTCATCCAGCCCCACTGGCAACGTGCCACCGCCCCGAGCTGCCCAGTCCCGCCGCTGGCCGGGAACGCAGTGGCAGCCGGCTGTTGGGCGCTGGGTAAGCATGTGGCAGGCCCAGGGGAGCCAAAGGGCCACCCTGTCACCGCCGTCCCTTGGGGCAGCCCAGATTGGGCGGCAGGGTGGCAGCTCTGGGGGGACTGTGCCGCTGGCACCCTGACAGCCGGACACTGTCGCGTCCCCACCGCCACCCGTGTCCCACCAGTCGGCCCCGTCCCCCGCGCCGCCTTGGCCTCGCGTGTGATGTCACGGCGCTGATGTCACCGGCGGCGCCCGGACGTCACGGCAATGCCCAGGTGGGGCGGCGGGGCGCGGGCACGGTGGTCCCGTCCCGTCCCGGTGCTCGCGGCGGCACTCACCCGGTGGGCGCCGAGCTCGTCCGGGCGGGCGCTGTGCATGCCCGGTCCTGCTCCCGGCCCCGCTCCCGGTGCTGTCGGTGTCGGTGCCGGTGGCGGAGCGGCAGCAGCAGC